CTAGGCCAGATGTGGTGTTATTGAGTCATTTCATCCTCATGACAACTGTGCATTTGGACAACATCAGCAGCACCATCATGTCCCACCATTGGCAGAGAGAATGAACTGCAATTGGCACAAATCCCTTGTCAGGAACCATCCCAGTCTTCTAGTTCTCTTGGCCAAGAACACTTCTCAATGAAAAGGTTCCCCAAGCTAAATTTAAGGGTTAAATCTGCTCTACTTCCCCTGTGTTTGTCACAGAGTACAGCCACACCCACTTGGTTTTGATTCTTCTATTGCTGAGCTGCCACCCTGTGTAACTCCTGGAGAGCTGACTAGTTGTGCAGTAGACCATATGGCCTGCCAAGCCTCAAATCTTTACTGTCTGGCTCTGTACAAAATAAGTTTGCCAACCCTTGCCTGTGCCTTTATCCATTTGCATTTTCAGTTTTTTTTTTTTTAATATATTTTGTACAGAGTCTCACTGTGCAGCTCAGACTCTTAGTGATCCTCCTGTTTTCAGCATCCACTGCACTGGGATTTCAGGTATGCATCACAATGCCTAGACTAGGCTGCCTGCTCAGCATGCCCTGGGGGTGGAGCCAGCACAGCATGTGATGCCAGGGATAGAACCCCAGTCCCTGTGCTTGCCTAAACAGGTGCTTAGTCTGCTAAGCTCTCTTGCCAGCCCTGCACTTGCATTCTTGAAAGGGGACTTACAACACCTATTAGTGTCTCTTTCACTCTAGGAAGGATAAAATATAAACCATATCACACTACCAACCTAATTTAGAAATATATTATCATCAAAACCTTATCTCGATGTAAGTTGGAGTACTAGTAGTTCTATGAAGAGCTGGTTATATTTTTAATAAAGTTCTAAAACAGAATAAAATTTAAAATAGATTCAAAGTTTACTTTAGGGAACTTCATCTAATTTGGCACCGAAAAAAGAAAAGTAAACAGTAATAAATTCTGCTAAACAATAGGATGTTATAATCTAGATCTAAAACATTTCCCAAAGGTCTTATGTTCTCAAAGGTGGGCTTTTTGAAGATGACTGTATCAAGGAGCATGACATTCATCAACAGATGTATTTAATACTGATGAGTTGGCTAGTTTATGAGCTGCTAGGAGGCAGGCAATAAGCCTGCAATTGATTGCAATAGGCAGGCCACTGCAGCTGTGACTGGAAAGAGTGTGTGCTTGTCCCTCTCTCTGGGCTCTCCTCTCAGTACTTGGCTGCCACGAGATGAGCTACTTTCCTCCTGCATAGCTTTCCACCCTCGTGTTTCCGCCTTGGAGCCAGCTAACCATGGACTGAACCTCCCAAACAGTGAGCCAAACTCTTTCCTTTCAACTTACAAGTGTCAGGGATTGTGTCCCAATGATGAGAAAGCAGAGCTGTACAGGTGTTCTGTACCACAGTAAGAATGTGTGTGCATAAGTCTGCATAAGGAAATCGACCTCATTATAGTTGTGGAATAGCAAATACAAGATAGCATGAGTTACTGTAGCAAAACCTCTGTTCACTCTTCATGTCTACAACACAGGAGGTTACCTAGATCATTCCCTGCCCTCTGCTCTCCTAGGCCTGGCCAGGGCTTCAGTATCCCGCTTACGATAGTGCTCTAGACAGCTGCACAATGTAAGCAGAGCCAGCCTACTTGGAAAACTTTTAAGAAAAGGAACAAGCTAGCAGTGAAAGGTGATATTTCAGGTCTTTTCCTAACCTTGACTTGAGTTTGTATCTCAGCCTTTTCCCATATAAAGTAGGACTAATTATTTTTTTTATTCTTTTCCAGGGTGTGGATAAAATAAAAACAAAGGAGGCAATAAGGTCCCGATAATTTAAACATACTGAACAACTGAAAAACACTATTTTTATGGTGTAGGCATTTAAGGAACATAGGAATGTGAGAAATAAAATAGCAGAAATTACAAAATGATAGCTATCCTGAAATAAATAAATAGTTTAGCTGGATGTTTCTCACAATGAATTCCTTCTATAGTTTTGAACCATAAAATTTTTCTACTTGAAAAAATAATAGAAGTGACTTGTTGGATTCAAGAAAAGTTTACCCAGGAAAAGGAAAGGCCCTAGGTAATTGTGATACTTATTGGTGAGGTTGAATTTATTCTTCTTAGAGTCATTCAGTAATCATATATGGACTATATACTGGGGGAAGGCACGCAATGTCAGCTGCTTTTGAAATCGCAACATTGTAGGAAGAAGAGGAGTTGTCTGTCTCTTTAAATCCTTTTGAAGTAAAGTGATATAATGGTGTGAGTTTGAAATTGTGTCCTGTCTCTGACTATAGACTGCAATCCACTGGATTAAGCAAACAAGGGCTTATTTTTCTCATGTAACTGAAAGTCTGCATCAATGATTGTCAATGCTTGTTCAGCAACTGGTTTAAGGTGACAAGGTCAAAACCCCTCCTGTACTCACAATAGTTCTCTCATGGTTCTAAAGTAACTGCTAGAGGTCTACCCAGCACATCTGAATGTCAGGCAAGATGAGAAAAATTAGAAAGTGGGGAAATAAAAAGCTCTATCCAAAGACTTGTACTTGCTTCTTGACAAGGAAGGCTAGAAATGTGAGGGGGGTTCTTAATTGGACTCATTGCAATCCTACAATAGTCTTCATTGAAGAGGAAGGAAAAGATAGGTGTTTAATAGTAATAATCTCCACCAATTGTGTAAACTTAACAAAATATAATGCAAGTAAGTTGTCACCAGATATTAAGCCTTTTCCCAAAGCCTTCACTCTAATAGAGAAAATAAAATACATAGTTTGAAATAAATCAGAATAGAATGTAGTTTATCACCTAGCTAAGCAACACCCTATCAAAAGGATACAAAACTGTATCATATTTACAGTACCTGAAAATATTTCTGCACTTTTTATTAGGTGGAAGGACATTGACTAATTTTTATTTACTTTTTTCTCTTTGCAGATACCTTACAATGAATATGTGCTGGTATAGAGAGAGAAGACACCATTAAAAGAGGGGTGGTATAAGTTGGTTTCTACATCCATTGTTTTATTTTATCATTATAACTGCAACTTTCAGAAGAAGGTGGGGACACAATTAAGCATAATGAACATTTTAGTCATGAACCCAGGATTTTAGAAAACAGGTGAAAGAACTGCATGCCTACACTGGGCACTGAACTCAATCATGATAATAATCCTCTTCACCCAAATATATAGAATCATAGAGTGTTCTGTGGGATGTGAAAAGCAATGACAATCTGGACTGTCATTTATGTTTCAGAATCCAACTCATTTCCCATTTTCTAAAGAAAGCCATTAGTGGAAGGATGCCAGAAAATGATGAACAGCAAAATAAGGTAGGACCTGGCACAGTGCACCCCCTGAGCTTTGCAGTTCCAAGGATCTGGGCCTCAGGCTCTCCCTAGAGTCCCTTGATATCTGTACTAAATGGAACTCTTTATGGAACAACTCTTAATACCTAGGTTGTCAAAATTACTAATTCCTATTAATTCACAGGATAGAAACTAAGGCTCTTCTTGCATTGCTACCCTAAATATATATAAAGAAGAGTAAAGCTAGGTTGGGGACAAAGGCCAGGGGTGGATTCTCTTGGAAGAGTCTTAGCTTTCTCAGATCACTTGGGTAATTTTACAAGTGGTCGAGGAGAACTCCTTTGTGGAGATAAAACCTAAATAGCATCTTTTAAGTACATATTTAGGCAGATGATTCATTTCTGTCTCTTTCTATGGTGAAGTTATCTTTACCTTTGAAGGTTCTGCTTCTCTTTCAGACTAACAGTTCTCACCCTAGCCAGCTACCCAGTGCTGTGCTCCTAATTACTATACAGAGTGTCAGATACCTGCTGTTCCTACTATTCTTCCTTTATCAGCTTCATCATGCAGCTGACTGTCACTCGTTGGGAGATCTGGCAGCTGAAGCCAAGTCCAGTGGCAGACACTGAATATTTGAGTACCCACTCTATCCCAGGCTTGTTATAAACGCCTGCAATATAGCAATGAAAAAGACTAGAGACGACTTGTGCATTGAGATGAGACCAATGACAAGCACAAAACTAACTCAGCGAGTATTTACAAGAATGCATAAGTTTTACATGAAAGACAGAGTAGGGTAACAAGATGAGGAGTCCTCAGGATTAGACATACCATTTTGACTTGGATGTTAGAAAAAGGCATCTAAAGAGGAGGCCTTTGTCCACAGAGCTTCATGTTGAGAAAGAGGCAGCTACCCAAAATACCAAGGTGTTGGGGAGGAGAGTAGTACAGACAATACAAAGGTCTTCTAACAAGTCCAGGATGTAAGGACTGAGCTTCAAGTTTACATTAGAGGAATGAAAAGGGAAAGTCTCTTTCAACTTGAGCCAAAATGGATAGCAGCCCAAATGCATTGGTATTAGGTGGGTAGAAGAAGGAGAATTTTATTATATGGTGTGGAAGAATTGAGACAATTTGCTAATGGTTAGGAGGGTTGGAAGGCTTCTGCAGGTGATGGGTCACAATCCAGCTCACGTTTTGGAATTCCAAGGGGATGACTTCAGGAAGGCAGAAGGAAAACAAATTTTATATGCTAACTTCTTGTCCCACTGCTGCAAGAAAGCTGGCAGTAGGAGAACTGAGGCAATGGCCCTGCTTTGGGTGACAAGACCTCAAGAGGTCCAGGGCTGTCCCACCACATAGGCAGTTTCTCTCAGTTCTCTTCTCTTAGCAGAGAGCCTGCTTTTCAGATGTCTCCAGGAGCACAGCTCTTCACTCCCACCTCCATTCACACAGCTTCAGTTCAGATGACCACAGGACAATCCAGTCCCTTCATGTTCCCCAGGTCAAGCCAAGATCCACGCTTTGAAACTCTGAGTCAAGTTTTGTTGCTACTACAAAGAAACCCTGTTAGTAAGAACTATCTCAGGTAACTTAGTCAAATGATCTATGAGAGCTTTCTGCAGTCCTCAGCCTTTTCCTGTATTAAACAAAGGAGCTAACTCTAAACTCACCTTCCTAGCATGCCTCACTAGCAGTCCCTAGGAGGATCCCCAACAATTCCCTTCCATGCCCAGATGTAAACAGAAAAACCAACCTGATTCGCTTCTCAATCAATTTGAAGGGTAGAGCACACTCAAGAGTCATCGTGGGACCAACAGTTTGTTTTATTTTAAGGATTCCACAAAGCACACAGAGAGACAGCAGTGAGGCTGCGTTGCCTACTTTATCATTTAAAGCACATGCAGAGTTTGTTTTAGCTTTCAGGTGCCTCACAGCTGATTTCCACTCTTCACAGACTTGGGTTTTTCCCATGGTCCATGTAAAATAGTTTAGCATTGTAGATCATGCTCTTTAATCATAAATGTCTGTGTCTGGGATTTTGTATTTATGGTTGATGAGCTCACTGTCTGCTCTAATAGACTTTTCTCCTTGGTGAGTGAGACAGACACCACAATGGGGTTACTCTGGCTGTTGTGTAGAGTGGAGATGGGTGAGTCAGGCAGAGAACTTTGGTTCCTACCAAACCAGGATCAGGCTTCATCCTTCCTCAGAATGACATCCCATAATGTACCATTTCCTGTTTGCTTATGAAGCTCTACTGTTGTTGTGTTCAGCCTTTTCATCCTTAGTCTGAATTCAACCAGTGGAGAAAAGCAATGCATGGATTGGTCTGTTTACCTAACAAACATTTACAAATCACCTACAGAACAGTGGTTAAGAGTGGAGTAGGAGGGAGAAGGAAGAGCAGGAGGCCACTCCAGTGTCTAGCTGTGGAAGGATGAGCTCTGGGGGCTGGAGTGATACCTGAGACTGCAGAGTGTGTAGCAGGCTCCAGAGAGGTTCATGGGCAGAGTCTGGACCTGTAGCCCCTTGTCTTACCAGTTGGTGTGGAGGGCAGAGAAATGGAAGGGGTGGAGACAGCCCCAGAGTTTCCACTTGATTGATTGGTTCTAAGTAGTCTGCTAGCAGTGGGTCATTGCCAGCGAAAATGGAGCAGAGGTTAATCAAAATGTCACTACTAACTCCAAGATTTTAATTGAGCCAAATCAAGGACCTGTGAAAGAAATGAAAACAGCTCAATGTTTGGCATTGGTGAAATAAAGAATTCAGAAATCTTTTCCAGCAACAGTTGAATCTACTGTCCTCTTTTCGCCACCTGCTAATTTCGTGAGTCATCGCCTCTCTACTGTCCTAAGCTATGGGGCCCCCTTTGAGTTCACAGATCTTTGGGCAGATATCTATCTTTCTGGCTAGTGCTGGATGTTGAAATCAGCTTTTCCACATCAGTCAGTGGTCTTCTTAAGGTGAAGAACCTGGTATTACTTCAGTGCTCCATACAATAAATCAAAGTAAGTTGAGAGAAGGGCTATGTGGTAAAAGAGCTATGCAATAGCATGGCAACCATACTGTAGATCCCTGATGGGGGATCAGTAGAGGACGGACCACCATTCCAGTTCTCCATAGTTCGGGCTTAGTTTTGAGGAAATGAACTGAAGTTAAGAGACACTAACCTGCTTTAGCTTCCCTCCAAATCAGCCCTCTGTGTTTGCTCTACCACCATGAAAAAAACAGAGACCCACCTCCGCCTGTAGATCTGAGTCACAGCCCTCCTCTGCCTTTTTTCTGTGCCAAGGGCTGGGGGGGGGGAGTTCACACCTGTAGCCAGGCCCAGAGGACAGGAGAGGTACCTAGTAAACCCCATCACCTCCCACAGCCCACCTTAGGTGCTCAAGTCCTACTTTGCACTGTTCTTGATCTTTTTGCAGTTTCTTCAAAGGCAGCAAGGAGACACTGCAGGCCTGGCGTGTGCCGCTGCAGCATTTCTGTTCCTGGGGCTGGCATCCAGTCACCAGCGCCATCCTGTTCTCTGGGAGGTGATCTTTTGTTGGAGAGCTCCCCAGTGTCTGTTGTTATGTTCGAGACTGACTTTTGTTCCAGACTAGTGGGCTGGAGCGACAAGACTGCACTAAGTGATACAACATGAACAGAATGCTTGTAACATTTTCCAATCTTTTTTTCCCCTTCTTCATAGAGCATCCAAAAACCTCCCTCCTCTTGTTTCTTCCCCCTACATTCTCACCCATCTATGAAAGCTCAGGAGTTCTGCCTTCGTTTTTGGAAACACAGTCTGCAGGGACGTGTCAGCAAAGTGACCACAACTGCCCATGGGTTCACCCTTTTCTCTCCCTGCTCATCTCCAGTAGACCCTGACCCTCTAAACCCCCATCTGGACTCTCACCTCGCATGGTTCACAGTGTCTATAATCTGCCTTGCTCATCCATCACACTCTCATCCCCGTAGACAGATCAGAGGCAGAGGGCATGCTTACTGACATCAGTAGGAATTTTTCAGTTCAGAATACACATCTCTTTTCTGAGAAGACAAAGTAAAAAAACAAAAATTAGCTGCTAAATAACACAGATGATGCGGGTGCATCATTTCCAGTAATTATGACACTACAGCCCTTGCTCTCTAATTAAGCCAACAGCTAGCACTCTATTTGGGGCTCTCATTTCTTTCCTTTCTCATGTTGTCAAAAAAATGTCCTCCAAAAGTTTCTTTTAAACCAAAAATTATTATGCTTTAGTTTCAAGCCAAAGAAAATTTTATTTTGGAAAGTTTGAATCAAATTTTCTGAGTTGAGAAGGAAAAGGTCATGAAAATGCAGGATTTCTGATTTGGGTTTTTAAAACATTTCTCTACTCTTAGAATTCTTTTCATTCAAAAATCACTTTTTAAAAAAATAAATCCTAACATTTTAATGCCCTGGGATTCCCCTAACAAAATAGCTGTAAGATGTACTTGAAAGAATAACACTTAAAATTGTGAAGTACATGAATAAACTCCCTTATTATGTACTAATTAAGGGATAGAGATTGCAGAAATAATGGACAGTTCCATAGTAATGTACTATTATTTGAGATTCTTACATTCTAGAAATATGTACCTCTTCAAGTGAATATGGAGCTCCATTAGAAAATTGATAATGCACTTCACTGCATCCCAAAACTCTATGTTAGGTATAAATGAATAAATCTTATGAAAAGTTGCCTTATGCCACATTGTCCAAATGTCCCCTCGTTCCCTGAGCATTCAGAGTCTAAACTATTGCACGATGGAAATGAGCAGAAGATACAGATTATTAACCAAACGTGTGCATCAGTAATCTAGCTATATTTGTAATTTCATGTTCCCTTAGGTGGTAGGAAGTAATTAAGTGCTTTTGCTTAAAAGGCCACCCGGGGGCTGTGTCCAGAAGAAATTGTGAACGCAGCCAACAAATGACATTACGGGGTTGTTTCATTCTCTCCAAAAGAACTTGAAATATGAGTTGTTGAAAGCAGCTCATAATGAGGAAAATCTACTTATAGAACATTAAGAAGAGGTTTGCATAGTTCTGTGTATATATAGATCTTAATGTTTTCATAACTTGAGCCTGACTTTGGGAGCTGTCTCAGCACCCAGTGTGGGCACAGGCCAGGCATGAGCCCTGCCATCAGGATGCCTGGCTGCCAGTGCCAGATCCAAAGGTGCACAAATGGAGCTCAGAGGTTGGGGAGGAAGCAGTTGGTCTGATTTCCAGCCAGCTGACACCTTGCAGAAATCCAGGCTGCTGGGTCTTTTTTTTTTTTTTTTTCAAGAGAACTAAAAATCTGGATTTTTCTGTGAATGATCCTAATTTTTAAATGTTGCTAGTCAATAGGAATTTTTTTGAAAAATAGTAAGTAGACCAAACCAAACACAACTGGGTGCCAAATGTGGCTGAAGGACCTGCAGGTTGCAATGTCCAATTTCTATAATTTATTGAAACTAAATTTAGCTGGTGTTCCATTCCCAAGTATACCAAATATCACTTTATGGGGCTTTTATAAGAGAGATCAGTTTTTTTCTGCTTCAGCTAAAAGGCATTGGTGTTTTTATTCATGTGCTCACAAGTATAACTCAGTTTTTAATTTGTGGGTTTTCTTCCTTCCTTCGTGGTTACATTCTCTTATGAGTTTGGAAGGCTGCTTCATGCTGTTTTACAACACAGTCTTCCATCTCTAACATCAACTCAAATAAGGTGTCTTACTCTTTCCTCCTGGGCTTGGGACAGCGGGGAGCAGAAGGAAACCCCTTCATTTATTTTGCTAACAATGACTAGCGCCATTGACGTTAATGGAACCACCAAACGAAAAAGAGGTTAAATTGTGTATACTTTCGCTGCTTAGTTTTCATGGGAAGAGATGTGAATATTCTAAAAAGTAGTTAAACACATTTTAAAAATATGGAAAGAATGCTGTTATTGGTTCAACACCAGGCGCTTTGGTAAAGAGATACGATATTTAAAAAGCAAAGCTTTTCACCAGGTGTATGACACCATTTCACAGAGCCATTTGGGTTTAAGTGAAATGAAACTGGAAAAAGAATGCATTTTGCATTTGTGATGCAGTTAAATGGCTGCAGCACATGAATCGGTCTGCTGGTAGTTCCCCGTATGCTCCTTTAGTCATCTTAACATTTCCTCCACAATCACCAAAAACGATCATTTTCCTTTGAGGTTTAACCTTGTCTTCTTAAATCTGATAGTTAAGCCATTTTGGTTTTGGATCAATAATTACTATTATCACAGTAATTACAAATAACTCTGAAAAGTGTCCATTGAGTGTCACCATTAAATCATACTCCTAATGCACCTGGGGACTGATCAGTCTTCTGTGGCAGTGCCCAAAATCTTAAATATCATGCAAATGCTCATCTAGACAGGAAAAGGCAATTTGCCCTATGAGGAATGCAAAGACTCTGTGACCCTGATGTGGCTCTGACCAGCTTCCTGCCACAAGGAAAAACTGAGGCTCTATCATTCCTGAGAAAAATACTTTCTCATTTTATTTCAATCATGTGTAGCTTTATTTGAAAAAAAACTTCAACTGTTGATGTTAGATAAGTGTCCAAACTATTACCTCAATATAATTCTTATATTATATTTACATATATTGAGAAATAAATACCACTATCTGCCTTCTCTTTATTTTTTTTTTCTTGCACTAGGGGCTAACCCCAGTGCATTTATGCCGAACTACAAAGCCCACTACTCCAGCCTTTTTTTTTTTTAATTTAGTACAAGGCCTACAGGGTCTGCAGGGTCTTACTACATAGATCAGACTTGTAGTGATCCACCTGTGTTCAGCCTCCCAAGTGCTGTGATTACCGATGCACACCACCACGCCCAGTCTCAGTCGCCTTCTCAATGCACCCCAGGGACCCGGCTGGCATCACGTGCCAGAGATCAAACCCTGGCTGCTGCACTCTGCCTAGGCAGGTGCTGTAGTCTGCTGAGCTATCTGGCTGGCCTGCTCTGGCAATCTTGAACTTGCAGTCTTTCCACCTGTCTCCCAGAAACCTGGCTTCACAGGCTTCCTCCACCGCTCCCGGCTTCCAACACCTTGGAATCAGATCCAAACACTCCCTTCCTTGCATCTGACATCCAGCCAGAGGCCATAAATATTAATTCTTCTCCCACAGTGTTTCATGACTTTATCTCTTCCCCTCCTTCACAGGCTGACATTTCTATCACATTCTTTCAGAATTATAGTCCTCATGGACATGGGTCACTGGATGTGTGGGATATACATGCCTGAAGCCTGGTTCCAGCTTCAAGTCATGATTAAGTGATGGGTAGTAGGGTGACCATCAGGGAATCTCCAGGCCCAGGTTGCCATGATGATCCCAAAAAGGTCCTAAGGGGGTTCCTGAATGAGTTAGCTTAAGGAATGTCCAATTAAGAAATTGCATTTTTCTAAGACCTAGCCTACATGATCTTGTCCTCTATAAGACCCCCATGGATGCACATGCTTATGAGGGTAGAATGGGAAGAATTTCCATCTGAGACCACCAAAGAAGAGGGAAAGGATGTTTGACAAACTTCAGGAGATGCTGATCACAGGGGACTTTACCCTACTTCCTCTGTCAGACCCACTTGTACGGTAGCCAGGGTGGAAGGAACCCAGAAGTTACTGAGACTCTCCAAAGGAGCTGAAACCTTAGCCAAAGGGCAGAATGCTCAGGTCAGGCCTTGATGAGATGAAGAGTCTTGGCAGTGGAGAAGGGGCAATTTCTCAACCACAGACCAAAGGTAGGAATGGCAGAAACTCACGGCTCTGTAGCACCAGAAAAAATAAAGAAAAGGCCAGGTAGCTGGGGAGGGCTGCAGCCTTCACCAGTCAAGACCTGCTAAGCCACAGGTCAGATCAGCTGCTACCATTCCATCACAGAAGGCAGTGGAGAGACAGAAACATCACCCCAGGGAGCAGATGAGCCAGGGTACTCAGCCCTCATTCACCAGGAGACCAAGTGAGACATATACTTTGCCAGAGGGAAAGGGCAGCCAAAGATGGCAGAAATGATTCTGAAAGATAATACTTTTTTGAGATCATATAATGTCACCTTCAATGTACTTTAGCTCCATTGATTCATTTCCCAACAACCTTTGAGAAATGTTATATCTCGTGTTCTTCATTTTCATATTCATCATAGCTAATGTAGAAAGGATGAACAATTATCCTAAGATTACGAAGTCCCTAAATACAGACTTGGGATTCAAATAGGCAGTTTCAGTCCACACACCACTGATAACCACCTTAATGGGGTGTCTTTCTTTTAAAATGAAGGAATCTTGAGCCATGTATCATAGCACACTCCTGTAATCTTGGCTGTGTGGGAGGCTGAGGCAGGGTCAACATAGTGAGACCCTGGCTCAAAATTAAAAAGAATAAAGTGAAGCTCCCCCTAGGCTTAATTCCCAGTGCCACCCAAAGCAAAATAATAGTAGTAAGGGAATTCTGAGAATTCCTACTAAGAAAAGTCTACAAAATGGCACAGGATGTAAAACACAAACACCAGTGACCAGTAGGTCAAACAATTCTGTCCTCTGTGGCAAAGGCAGCCACTTTTAGGAAGAGGAGTTGGAAGGAGCGAGAGACAATGACATGGTAGCCCTGCTACTGACACTGCCTTTCCAAGAGTTGCTCTGGGCCCTGTCGATGTATTAACTTTCTGGCTTCTCATTACCACCCAGTCACCAGGAGCTCCCTAGGGAGCTGCATCCTGGAGTTTTTCTTTTCCACACTCCAGAACAGCACCATGGACCACACTTGGTACCTGCAGGGTGATGGGTGCAACTAAGAACCTGAGTTGTTACTCTCACTGAAATTCAGTGACTTTCAGTCGAAGCAGTCATATGAAGTCAGTGGCTACTGAACTGGATGGTGTTGAAATATTTTTTTTCTATTTCAGACATAAGGAAACTGAGGCATAGAGCAGCCATATGCCTTGTTCTGAGTCACAGAGTTTCTCAGTAGCAAAATCGTGCTTTAAATTCAGTGAGTCTGGCTCTGGAGCACACTCTGTGTGTGTGTGTGTGTGTGTGTGTGTGTGTGTGTGTGTCTGTCTGTCTGTCTGTCTGTCTGTCTGTCTGTCCGTATTACTGGGAAATTGAACCTAAGGCCTTCACACCAAGCTACCTTCTAGTCTTTTATTTTTACCTTTTGGGTCAAGATCTCACTAAGTTGCTAAGTAGTCCAGGCTCCTTGGGATCCTCTTGTCTCAGCTTCCTACCATGTTGAGATTAGAGACACGTACCACCACATCTGGCTGGAGTACATACTCAAACATTTCCTTGAGAAATCTGGAGCAATCCCCTCAGAACACAGAGTATTACCTATGATACTATTCAAATTATAACATTGAACATTTAAGTTCCTTCTTCCAACAACAGGTGGAGGCTTGTGCGGAAAGCCAGGTCTGCTCCTGACAAAATGAAGATACCACATTTAGAGTTTTTGAACTGCACTGTCTGCTCTCCAGGCAGTCTGATGTGTCTCCAACAGTGGGGCTGAGGTGGTCTCATTTGGCTCGCTTGCTCTTGAACATACTGAAGCCAGGGGGCTACCAAATGATCACTACCCTAAAACATCTAAACCAGGGAGGCGTTCCGGAGCCAACCAAGCTTATCTAATCAAGGCTGCCAGGGATGGCAGCTCACAGGTGCCAGGACCCTGGGGCTAAGCTGCAGGGAGGAAGCTGGGGTCAGTGTCAAAAGTCACACTTGAATAACCAGAGTGCCAGGGAAAAATAGATCATAAAGCCCAAAGAGAGATGCAAATCTGGGTAGTCAAATTAAAATTTTTTCTTAAACTAATTTTCTGTCTTAAAATTGACACACTACTCAAAACCAATACTCCAAACACTAATTTAAAGCCTGCCTAACCCCACTGATATCTTGAAGACTGTAAGCAAATTTACTTGTTTATAGTTTAACGTCATCTGTGGCCCACTGACAAAATGCCTGTCCCTTCATTCTAAAGTCCATGGTTTGTTTGTAAAATGTTTTTAGCTATGAATGAAGAGGAAATAACTCAAATACACTTTGAAAGATTTTAACTGAAATTAAACACTCTTGCTATAGTTGCTTAATTGCTTTAACTCATTCATTGAAAGAGTTTCAAGGGTTCAGTGGCATGGTGAATTTGAGGTCCTGAGTTTGAGTCCCAGTTGCAAGAATAAGGGAAGGAGAAAGAGAAGGAGGAGGAGGAGGAAGAG